ACATGCGCATACCGTATTTCTTTTACAATCAGTACCACACACTAATGATCACTTAGGTACTACGTACACAAGACCCTCAAGCATGCAATATCAAAATTCCTATTTCGAACTCCTTAAAAACTGTCCTCCACCGATCCCCTTAATACCCGATCTATATACATATTATACTATACCTAACTGTAAAAGTTTACCAGCGATTAAATGTTGTCTACTTGTCTTACAGCGCCGTCGTTAAATAAAGCAGGTACAAACTTCGAAGTGTTGAGGGTAATTATAATTATATTATTTAGAATTATTGGCATTTTAAGTGACTCAATGAACATTCGGCTTAGAATGCTTAGATAATACGTTTAATAGACGGTTATTATCGCTCTGGGTAGTTCGATTATAAGTGTATAATCATTACATAATATACCATATTATAATATAACTACGTAACCTATTATTATACTATCAAACTCTCTGTACCTTATAGTTAAATTTTAGCTACCAGTTTTTTACGCGTGCAGTATATACTGTATTATTGGAGGTCTCCGTCAATGTTATGTATCATATCAAATTTTTTCAAAAAATTTAAATAGGTAAAAAAAAAATAGTAGGTACGTGAAGTTTGGTTACCTTAAGATTGATCGTGCTCAGCGTAATATATTGAGTACAGTAATTCATTGTAATATAAGGAAACTATACTATTACATACTTAAATAGACTTGGAATTTGAATATATAGAAGGTATTCCCTTATATAGTCATAAAATATTATACTATCATACAATATTCATGTACCTTAGTTTTAAAAAACTCTGCGCGTTCATATTTGTACGTGCACTTAAATTTTGTTCTAAAAATTACTTGTATAGAACTAAATAATATATTATATCATAAAAATGTATATAACTGGATTCGGCTTTAAAACTTTTTTCGAATGCGATGATGTATCACTGCTTTAACGTTTGTAGCAATAATACTCGTCTATACATCAATACTTTTACGAGGTATCTTAGGATAAGAACGAAACGTTATACACCTATATAGTTTAATATTATATTATAAAATAATATTATCTATGGCTTATTTTATCCATACAAACCATCGGCTTTTGCGTTTTTGAATTCTATTCTACAATATTTATTTAAATATAATATTAAGATGTACATTTATTGAGGGAAATAAAATCACATTTGTTTAGCTCCCAGCCAAAACGCAAAAACAGTAAACACAATAGTTTAAACTGTAAAGAAGAATTCTCACTAGACATGCAGGTTCAGAATTCATCACACGAGGATCTCCCATAGAAATCCGATAAGAAAGACGAAACCTCCATTATACATAATAGGAATTTGCATGCAATATAAAAAAATCACTGTTAAATAATACATTTTCACAGAGACCAGAAACTAATTCCACATTCCAGACTACCTGTACGAAGCAATATTGATTCAAATGTCAGAAGAATAATCACCTACATTACAAACAATTTTAAATGTATTATAGGTACTTAATATTATAATGTTGATTAAATGTAAGATGTAACCCCTAATGTTTGCTAATAACAACATAAAATATACGTGATGCTCAAAAAATCAAAATAAATATAAAGATAATATAATAAGCCGTCTTTCTAAATATTATTTATTCATTTAATTTATTTATCATCAACAATACGGGCTGAGTCCAATTAAACAAAATATGATAAAAATTACAATTTAAACTATGAATAACAACAATAAGTATAAAAATAACTAATTAAACTCATATAAAAATGTGAATAACAACAATTAAATATACGACAAATACTAAAAAATATTAAATGATATATACAATTCCTGATACAATTTCCCTCTCCCTGCCCCCCTCTCCCGCACAAAGGTTAGAGTTAAATAGCTTTTACTCTTGGAAAGATATAATGAATTTTTTAAACCGTTAATTGAGTTCCTCTTTTTCAGTTTTTTCCAATTCGAGCGCAGAGTTGATATTATTTAAATTTTAAATGTTCCATAATAAACTTTGTGGGAGCCTCGCATATACAACTCAGAGATTCTGACCACGTCGAGGTCCGACACGCGATTATAATTATTATTTATTATTATGTTGTGTGACCGAGTCGAAAATTAAAGAAAATAACATAATAACATAATAACATAATTAAAACTGCAGAACTCGTCGGGCACCAGTGCCGACCAGGTCTTAACTCGTTCGGAGGTGCCTGTTTTGTGTTCGATACGGTTTTAATTTTTTATTCGTCTTCGTACTAAGGAGTACGACTGAGGAACATCAAACATTCGATATTGAAACCGGACGTAAAATACCGCTTCACAGTATTGCACACAGCAAGGTTGTCGAGTCTAGGACTTGCGGCTATTAGATAATAATTTATATAGAGGATGGGGCTGAATGGCTCATCGTGGAGTTCCTACGCCCTCGTATTAGGTATAATACTCCTCTACCCGCCTCCTGCCAAAACTAAAGTTTGTACCTAAGCGTACATATTATGAACTTTTGTTGAATATTTAACTGAAATCATATAGTGCGTATAATTCGAATTCAAATATATTAACCTAAATCGTCTCGATCAATTGCCTAAACAGCGCGTATAACACATTTTATAATAATTTCGAATCTCAAACAAAAAGTAATCACTTTTCGAAATTACATTTTAAAAATATCGAAGTGAAAAAGTCACTGTTGTTCTTATATTAAATAATATACACATATACAAAAAAAAAACAATCCAAACGAGACTGTTAAAAATTCGAATAACGAAAAAAAAGCTTTGAACTCTCAATTTTTTTGTTCAAAATGTAATCCTATGTATTTTTAAATAGCTATGTATAAGAAATAACTCCAGATAGAAGTGTATATAGAATCGATACTTTTTAAATTATAACAAAAATACTAGTCTACTGTAAAAAAAATAAATCAAAAGAAAACATTGTATGTCGTTTATTGAAGAGTTTGCCATGGTTTTTCCTTCCGCATTATTATAATGAAATATAAACGCGAGCGAAAATCAAAAAATGAGCCGAAGCATCTAGGTACCTACGACCTACTGTTTAAACCCAACATTGCTATCGGTGAGTATGATATCATTGAACTCGACTATCGGATCATTCTTATATGCATAACAGATAACCGGGAAAAAAAATTATCGCAGACACAAAAAAATATATGGGTACCTACCTATATAAGTATATAATGTGACGTTCAAACTCTTAGGTTCGCGGTGCAGAACACTGAAAGACGGGGACGAAAATATTATTATCCGCAGAAACACATCGTAAAATATAATCTATTATATAAAAATAAGTCCGGTTTTCCTCCCTGACGCTATAACTCGAGAACGCACGAACCGATTTCCACGGTTTTGCATTCGTTGGAAAGGTCTTGGGCTCCGTGAGGTTTATAGCAAAGAAAATTCTGGAAAATTCAGGAAAAATTCAACAGAAAAGTGGGGAAATCGTTTTTCACATACAGCGCCATCTATTATACATAGCATGTACTTCAAACCAATAGCAACGGTGCGTGATAAAGTGTTTGACGGATAGTTGTTTATTATATAGTTGACGGATAGTTGTTTACATTATTCTCTGCTCAGTTAATTTCATTTAAGCTAAAATAAATTATGTAAATTATGTGGATCGTGCATTTGAAGTTAAATTCAACACTCTGTCCATAGTCCAAAATGCCTGGAGAACGACGTGCGAACATCGGCCGCCGCACAAGACATGCAAGCCAGCAACAAGTATATTCAAGGAACTTAAGAGAAGAAAGACAAAATATAATAAGAGAAAATGACCGATTGAGACATCGCGTGAGCACACGAAGATCATTGGCATCATACAATCGCTTGGCATTCCAATATGATCCCACTGCGAACTACAGTGATGATGAAAATTTTGATATTGGACGAATGACGACTATATGCCGATATTGCAATGCGTTAAAGTTCAAAAGAGAAACGGTTGGATTGTGCTGCGCAAGTGGAAAAGTCAAACTGGATCCATTACTTACACCACCACATCCACTGAAAACATTGTTTGATGGAAGTGATCCCGATTCCAGCCATTTTCTTCAACACATCCTTGAATACAATAACTGCTTTCGCATGACTTCCTTTGGAGCTAATATCATTCGAGAAGGCGGCTTCATGCCGACTTGCAAGGTAAAAGATACAACACACATAACCAACACATAATTGCAACACATAACAACTTCATATACACCACACACTACATAAACACACGATTTAAAAGGTATTCATGAACAAATTTTAATGATTATTTGCAATTACAGATACAAGGTCAAATATATCATTTGCATGGTTCAATGGTGCCAACCACACCAGATGAACCGCATCAATTTCTGCAAATATATTTCATTTCGTCGATGGTTGATCAGCTGAACGTGCGGTGCAATATACAGGGAGCACAACAGTTAAAGAGACGAATTATTGAACAGTTGCAAGCATTTTTTCACGCTAATAATGCTGTGGTTAATATGTTCAAAACAGCATTGGAACGAATGCCATCGGATACGCACAAATTTGTCATAAGAGCGGATTGTACTCCAACAGGTGAACATGTGCGAAGATTCAATGCACCCACCGTTAATGATGTTGCTGCAATTATTGTTGGCGATCCAACTAAATCACGAGACATTGTCGTTCAGCGAAGAAGCAATATCATGCATCGTGTAAACGAGACACATCGTTTGTACGATGCGTTACAATATCCAATCATTTATTGGCAAGGGCAAGACGGATACGACATCACGTTGAAGATGGTCGATCCAATTACAGGTACAATATTCACACACTAATTATTTCCATTATTACTTTTATTGGTTTCCATTAACAATTCATTTAATTTTGCATTTTCAGGAGTATCAACGAATAATAAAAATCTAAGCGCAATGAATTACTATGCGTATCGTATGATGATTCGTACACATGAGGAGAATGTCATTCTGAAGTGCGGTCGGCTATTCCAGCAATTCGCTGTCGACATGTATGTCAAAGTCGAGACCGAACGTTTAGCGTTCATCAGATTCAATCAGCCAAAGCTACGATCTGAGGACTATATACACTTGCGTGATGCTATTCATTCAGATGGTGATGTTCAGAATATTGGACGACTGACGGTTCTCCCATCAACTTATATCGGAAGCCCACGCCACATGCACGAATACGCTCAAGACGCTATGACGTACGTGCGAAATTATGGAACTCCGGATTTATTTATTACGGTCACATGCAATCCGAAGTGGACGGAAATTGAACGCGAGTTGGAACCAGGTCAAAAACCGCAAGATCGCCATGACATAATCGCCAGAGTATTTCAGCAAAAACTCAAGGTTATGATGGATGTGCTTACTAAGTATCGAGTTTTTGGTGACACACGTTGTTATATGTACTCGGTGGAATGGCAGAAGCGTGGACTACCGCATGCTCATATCCTAATTTGGTTGCTGAACAAATTACATTCAAATGAAGTGGATGACATCATATCAGCTGAAATTCCTGATCCAGTCACTGATCCCCGTCTACACGACATTGTGACGACACAGATGGTGCATGGACCGTGCGGTGCATTAAATCCATTATCGCCTTGCATGGCTGATGGAAAGTGCACAAAACGATATCCGCGACCGTTAGTTGCTGAAACAGTCACAGGGAACGATGGATATCCAGTTTATCGTCGGCGTTCAAAAGAAGATAACGGTCGAACTATCAAAGTTAAAGTTCAAAATCAAGAGATTGAGATCGGAAATGAATTCATTGTACCATATTGCCCGCTGCTATCACGAATTTTCGAAACACATGCAAACGTTGAGAGTTGTCATTCGGCCAAATCAATCAAATATTTGTGCAAGTACGTCACAAAAGGCAGCGACATGGCTGTGTTTGGTATTGCGTCGGAAAATGTGAATGACGAAATCAGCAACTTCCAAATGGGCAGATACGTCAGTACTAATGAAGCACTGTGGCGATTATTGTCATTTCAAATTCATGAAAGATATCCCACAGTTGTACATTTAGCAGTGCATTTGGAAAATGGCCAAAGAGTTTACTTCACTGAGGCTAATGCGGCACAACGAGCTGAGAGACCACCATCGACAACATTGACTAGCTTCTTTGCAATGTGTGAATCAGATCCATTCGCAGCGACGCTGATGTACGTTGAAAAAAAACATAAAACGAATCTGGTGGCGAAACGGAGTTCGCCGGGTCTGCTAGTATAATATAATAAACATAGCCAATAGGCATAATCGAAACGCATTGACGTTTAATTAGTACCGGCGGACGACCAGAATATGTTATAATGCGGCGCGTGCAGTGTGCACTTGACCCCTTAGGTATAGTGTATACCTTGCAAGTGCGTCTGCTGGTCCACCGTCACGTGTATATTATATTATACTATTATTATTATTTTATGTATATATGCCTCGTGACGTGCACACGTATAACACAATAATATGTGTGGTATGTACAAAATATAATATTATATTATACTATACCCGTGTAATATTGCCGACTGATATTAGACGGTATGTATATTATGTAGGTAGTCACGAATTTTATTCCAAAGCGCTCTGTCTGGGTCGTTGCGTTATTTTTACTCGGAGTGTATAATATAATATAATATACCAGCTGCAGGTCTCGAGAGGAAAATAATAATAATAATAAATAGTGGTCGTCCGTGAGAGCCGACGATATTTTATTAGAATGTTATACGCACTACACTCGGGTTAGGAGCACTATACTCGCGTATATTATAATTTATATCACGTGTGAACGATTACCTACTTTTTTTCTGTACCGCACACTGCACTCTATACCTACCCATGTATACACACGCTTCCCGGTCGAGCGTTATTGTGCCTTTACAACATAATCATGATATCATTATGATAGATGATCGAAAATATCGTTTTCAAGGCGTCCGCACCGGTAGGTATATATTGTATGGTTCTGCGCGTATACTCTTACCACGCAAGCGTCTAGCCAGCAATCGAACAGGTTGCGTAAAATCGCGCACTTTGGCCTACGAGTCTACCACAACTCTGCAAAATAAGAGTTACACCTTTGAGTTAAGCCGTCTATAGCGCAGTAGCGTAGCTGGAGCTCGATTAAGGGGGGGGAGACTATTTAAATACTATATTATTTTATTACCCATATATAGATTATAAGTTATATCCGTGAAACATCACCAATAAAAAATTCCAAAAGTGGGGGGGCCACCCATGCACCCCCACATCAACGACACTGCTATAGTGCGATTAGTGGCTACATCCCGTCGATGGTCTGGGTTATCTTTAAATCTACAAAACGCTATAGGTTTCGCCAGAAGTCGAGGACCAACCGATGTGTTCGTTACACCAGTATGCTATGGGTCGGTATATTGGATAGTATTATAATTTATAATATTATTATTTTATTGATTTTTGCGGTTAAAAATTAAATATTACCGCCAAATTTTGAAAATCTTTTTTTTCTTGCAGTTGTACCTAAATATGTTTCTCTCACAATCAAACACAAGAAATCAAGACTGCATAATTTTGAATTATGCGTTTTAACGTGATTATTTTTGTCGACTTCGGGAAAATGACTCCCATGGAAAATCAATAAAATTGGAATATACAGATTCATCAGCATTTGTTTAATTGACGACAATCTTCATAATTGGTTTGGTATATACATATTATATAGATTAAGTTAGGTACCTACACACAAATCAATTAATTGATATTTGATTTGAAATTGATAACAAAACCAAAAGTGGTGGTTTTATTATTTAAATACCTATGTTACTAAACTGGCATTAGCTTATTTTCTGGTGCCTGCAAGTTGAGATTTAATTAAGTAGTTTTTAAAATAAGCTTCCAGTTACATAAATAATTTACAAAATAGTAAATACTAAAGTTAAAGTTTTAAAACTAACTATTAAGGTGCATAATATATTCAATTAAAATACATTCATACATAGACGCAATTAGGGACATTTTTCTGGGGGGGGGGGAGGCCAAAATTGTAACAGCAGCATAGACGCTGAAAATTTATATTTTAAACTAAAATATGATTAAAAAGCTGGGGAGAGACAATTATTAGTGTATAATATTATATAAGTAAATTGTTTTATGTATAATACGGGAGCAGCGGGTTATCGGAAAATAACCGTGAAACCGTATTGTCTTCGGATATCCGTTATATCGAGAGTGAATTATGGAAATTCGTCTGTAGCACGAACCCGTCTTCGCACATCGTGTAGCGCCGCGATTTACGTCATAATTATGTTTATTGAATTGAACGGGAGAGAACAAAAAAAAAAAATTGTTACACAACGCAGTTTTAGTAAATAATAATCGTTTCGCGCGGCCAAATCAATCATTATCATCTACTAGAATCTCATCAATTTGCATTAATTTCCAATATAACTTGTATTTACAGGGTCGTCGGACTGACGCGGTTGACGTACTGCGTTGCCCCAGAGCAGTTATTATTATGATTTCATTATCCCCTTGATTTTTATGACCTCAAAGACGGCAAACCTTGATTTTGTATACGCGCGATGACCCGAAACGCGGTGCAACTTTACACTGCACTTATATGCACGTGCATATTTGACGCATGCAGTGTATGTTACCATAACACCCCATCATACGATTCAATTATTAAATTTGTTGACGACGATATTTATGCGCGTTATGTACAATGAAGCGAAATAAATTGGACTAACGATTTCTTGTGAGGATTTATATACATAATATATTAGGTAACAAAGGTACCATAAGTGAAATGCATCCGAATTGCATCATGCCAAGAAAAAAATTTCGAAAAAAATAGTAAGTATCCCGATTTCATCTTAGCTAGACTATATAATATTTATTTTATACATTTCATGTTTTATTTATCATAATTATTAGCTAAACTTCATTCGCGTACTGAAAATTAAAAAAAAATATATTGAGTTAGTACTGTTATAGTATAATCTTTGCAGTCGAGTCTTCATATATTATAGTTACTATAACAAGTAATTACATTTAGGCGAATGCTGTAAGACAATGCATTCCAAGTACATAATTCGTTTTATGTAACAAATATTATTAATTCAAAGGTGAAACTTATATTTTTGAATTTTCCATCGCTGTTTTTCACCCTTTTTTATTTTTTTTTTGAACAATTCCATGTAATTTTATAAATTCTTAGTGGATATTAATACAATATTATACGAGCTTTAAGTGTAAATTAAGAAACCCAAAGTATTATATATTTCAAGAAATATTATTTTCATAATAGGTACTTGCTTTAATAGTTTTTAAGTATTTTGTATACGTACCAAATGTCAATCGTTCTATTTATGAATGTGTTTAACTATATTTATAGAGATTATTGGATGTGCAGGTGTCATACTGGCACCCAAACAAATAACAACTAATTGGTCAGTTGGACTTGAATGGCGATCGCTTTTATTTAGAGTAAACCTATTATGATGTTTATTTAACGTGCGTGCGTAAGTTCAGTATTTTGATTTTGTATTATATTGTTAGTTAAGTTAAGCTAAAGAAGTGTTAAAACTCCGAAAGTTAAACAGTCGTTTTTCAGGGTCACTTGCATTTGGATAATTTTTTAAGGACATTATTGCATTGAAAATATATTTTTGGTTTTGTTTTTTAGAGCTTTTTTTAATAGTTTTCAGATCATATACTCCCAAAACTTATAAGATAACAGTTAATATTATATAGTTTGGCACTACTATCCCGCGCTTTGCACAGTTCGAAACGCCGTGCCGTGAAGTTGTAAACATTACACGCAGTGTGTAGGTTAAATGGCGCGAATATTGTCGTAATTAGCTTACGAAGCGCAATAACTCATAGACAATAGGAGTAATTTAAGTGTTTTCACGGCAATACAACGGTCGGAAATTGGTAACGAAACGTGTGTTCATTAATATTTATATTGTTCGTGTAATACAGCGTGTATACCTAAATATATAATATACATTTCACAGGTACAACTGACGCGCTTCCGACGAATGCGGGTTTAATGGATTAGACAAAAAATAATAAATAACAAACAAACGAACCGTGAAATCTGTACAATATAATGTTGTACACGCGTAAACCAGCCGAACATATTATTATATTATCTATTTTGTCAACGCCATAATGACGTTAAAGGCATACCTCCTCGGCGCGGACTAATACCAATAGTGATCATATTATAAAGACGTCCGCGCCGCCGTCATCATCATATAATATATTGGCGATTTTAACCACGCGCACTACCTACGTATAATAAGCAATAATAACCGTGTAAAATCACTGCTGCCGCAGCATTCCGTCGAGATAATATAATCTAATATTTATATTTACATAATAATAATATATTGTACTTCGCATCGTACGCGCAATTAGTTTCAAATAGGATTCGTAAATGGCTCTTCCAAACACCCCCTCCCATCATAAAAAAAGCTCCCTAAAAAGTAGGTATCGGTATTCGGTATACCTATATATACACGGATCATTGCCTCTCAAACTAATAGCATAGGTACGTTATGATGTATCTACTGAATATTATGTTTTTTTACTTCAGTATATGATGGGCAAGTACCATAGGCGCAAATTGGAGGGGGCATAACCCCCCCCCCCCCAACTTAGCCGTAGCCCCCCTCAAAAACCTTGGACATACAATTTTAATATGCTATATTGCAATGGTCTGCTTGCCTTTAATATATTCAGCATTTCAGCCCCCCCAAGAAAAAGTTGAAATTGCGCCTATGGCAGGTACCTACTCGAATTATCTACCTATATATCCTTATATTACCTCCTATATGGCTATATCATATTGTTACCACGATCGATATGAATAATATTATGCCAATCGATGTATTCTATCGTATATTATCCGATTACCAGCTATACTTAATATATGTAGGCTCTAGGCTACCTTCGGAAAATTAGAATATATTACCTATAACTATTTTGATTATTTAACTACCCGTATCTAAATATATCCTAATATATTTATCTAATCATTTTGTATTTTAACAAGGTATTGCAAGTTAGCATTTAGACCTTTGAAAAATCGATTCACATATAATATCGGTATTGTATGCAATTATTCGATTGAAAATGTGACACTGCAGCTATATTCTGATGTAGGAACTAGGAAGACATTTGAGCTACACGCCTACATCATTAAAGAAAAGAAAAAAGATTGGAGACATTTGGAGTGTGCTAAT